CCTGGAGATGCTTCCCAGGTCCCGCCACCCCGAAGGTCCCTCCGTGAGGCTGCACCGGCTTCCCCCACTGCCACGCCCAGGCTGCAGGAGGTGTGGATGCTACAGGTGCGTAGCGAGCATCTTAGGACGTCCGGCTGCTCCCTCAGGCTGTGGGGTGCTGGCGGGAGAGCCAGGAGGAGAAGGTGAGGGGGTGAGGCCCGCTCGGTCCTAGCAGACCGGGGCGAAGGCGGTTCCCGCTGAAACCTGCTGGCCTGGGTAGTGGGGGGCAGTGGTGACAAGGGGTGGTGCAGGGAACAAGAGCATGGGAGAGAAGAGAGAAGAAGAGAAAACCTGGAAAGGGTGCCCTTGGGCGGGAGGTCTCAAAGGAGAGAGACCAACAGGACAAACCCACCCACTCCGGGCTTTCGCCCAAGGCTGTCCTTCGGTGTCCCGGCCACAGCAGAGAAGGGGTCGCAAGAACAGCCTTTGGGCCGCAGGTAGATGGATTGCCCGCCTGGAGAACAGTGTTCCCTTGCAGACGTTCCCTAGAGAGCAGCAGGGACAGGACTCCTGACCGAGTTGGCGTGCTAGCCGGAGGGCCCCCGGGTGTCGCCCAGGGTAAGCAGCACAGAACACTCTTCTACGCTGGCAGCCTCCAGGAGGAGCAAACACTTGTAGGAATTTGTTCATACTCTCACTGTGGGTTTCTGTTTGATGAATTCCGCGTTCCCAGGAAGTGCCGGTGGCAGTTTCAATAACACGATAGCTCTTGTTGAGGTGCAGTTGGGGTGGGATGGGGGGTGACCACTTTGCCAGGCACCTGAGTGACACCAGGAATAGGAAAAGGCAGTTGGCACCATTCTGTCCCGGGCTGTGCCTCAAGGAGCCAGCCTGAGCGTGCCAGCCCTGGGGAGCGGGGAACGGAGGGCGGGGGGCCAGGGGGACAAAGAACTGACCCTGCCCCATAGGCTGCTGGCTTTCTAACCCAGACCGTGGGGCCTAGGACATTATGACAGAGAGGTTAGAGCGATGTCCAGGTGGGCCGGGACTTGACCATGATCCTCGGAGAAGATCTGAGCTTCCAAGGAGGGTGGAAAGGACCAGAACCTTCTGTGGCCCCTTGGACCCCGGGGCTCAGATAAGTTACCAGGACTTCTTTGGACCACCTAAGGCCACTGTCAATGGACACTTAGCCAAGTTTGACCTGATCATTCTCAGTGAGCATCAGTAGATTAAAACCCTAAGCGATTTGAGGTAAGCGATTTGAGGTAAGCAGTAACCGACGTTGTACGTGTCCTTATAGTAAATTATTGATATCTTTCCCAAAAACCTGTCTGTGCCAGACAGAGTCAAGTGCAAATTTGGCAACTATGGGATTTTGCAGATTCACTCAAAGTAGCCGAGGGATATTTTCTTGCCTAAATTACCCGGTATGGTTTGAACACTGAATACATTAACCATACAGACTTTAACTTTCATTTCTCTCTAAACGGTATAGATCCATAGCAAATGTTTAAATTAGGGATGGCTTGTGTTTATAAACATCTTGTAGGAAACACGCATACACTTAAAGTATCTGTTTCAGTTTTTATCTTCCTAAAGTAATAGAATTAATCCTTACAGCATTTCACGAAATGTTTTCCACACTCCTTGCCTCTAAAGCAATGCAGAATTTCCACTAATTAACTAAGTGCTTCGAGTGCACTGTTCAGAATTGTAAAGAGCCACCTTATAATGGTGCCCATGTGCAGGTAAGAGTGTAGAGAAGGAAGAAAGGAGAGAAAAGGAAAACAGGAGAGGGGGAAGATTCAGTGTCTCAGGCAGGTGACTCCCCCGGTCAGCCAGAGCTACCTTCTGAAACAGATAGGAGTGGGCCAGGCCACCTTTCTCAAGGCCAGAGAGAAGAAGTCCATGACCCGATTCTAGCTGTGTTTGTCTCCAGGTGGACTTTTCAAGGAGATATTCTGCCACGTCGGCATGCAAGGCCAATCTTGGGCAGGTTAGCTTTGATGGGTTCGCCTGCGCATTCAGGTAATGGTGTCGAAGAGGCCCCCCGCATTGGGTCAGTGGGTGGCCCTGAGTCCTGATGGCAGTAATGATGCACCTGACAGAAGCGTGAGGGTGGTTAAGTGGAGGGAACAAAGAAGTCTTGGATGAAGCAGGTAGGGGGGAGTATCCAGTTCCAGGGGTACAGCCACAACTGAACAAGAAACTGAAGCAAGAAACTAATCTGTCTATGCTGAGCATTTGAGCAAAACATGGTGATTTTTTCCTTACACCATCAATTTTTGCTTCTACTATACAAAGGGTCATACGCTACATATTGCTAAAAATAGAACTGAAAACTGAAACTTTGTGGATTCACAAAGAACTGGTAAAAATCAAACTGCATGTGCCATGTGTATTATTTATTGCTGCACAGAAAATTACCTAAAAACTTAGCAGCTTAAAACAAATAGAGCATTTATCATCTCCCACAGATTGTGGAGGTCAGGATTTGGGGAGCAACTTGGCTGGGCTGATCTAGCTCCAGTCTTTCCCGAATTAAAGACAAGAGGTCAGTTGAGGCTGCAGTCATCTGAAAGCTTGGCCAGGAATGGAGCGTCTCCTTCCAAGAGGGTTCACTCACATCACTGCTGGGTCAGTTGCTGGCTGTTGGCAGGAGGCCTCAATTCGTGGCCACATGGGCCTCTCCAAAGGATTTGTCCAGGCCCTCACTACCGGGAGGCTGGCTTCCCCCAGAGCAAGCGATCGAATACAGCAAGGTGGAAACCAGAATGTCTTTTATAATCTAGCCCGGGAAGTTACACCTCATCACTTTTGCAATATTCTATTGCTTAACATGGGATTGCTGGCCGGGGTACCTCGCTGGCTCAGTCCATGGAGCATGCGATTCTTGATTTCGGGGTGGTGAGTTCAAGCCCCACAATGGATGTACAGTTTACTTTAAAAGCAAGCATATAAACATGGGATTGTTCCCTTATTTAGTGTGGGAGGGGACAGCACAAAGGCATAGATACCAGGAGGCAAGGACCCTTGGAGGCCATCTTGGAGGATGGCTGCCATACCATGGAAAGAATTCAATGAACACAAATACCTTCTTGAGGAAAAATGATCACTTGGAATCCTCAGAAAATTCTGTTCAGGTTTCAATTCCAACCTGCATTCAAACCAGGAACACTTGTAGCAAGAGTGACCAAACTCCACTTTCCTTTCAGCTTCCTGCCCACCCATGAGAGAAGAGGCCTGAGGCTTCGTTAATGCTCAAAGGTGAAATTTGCAGGGGAAAAAGGCAGGAACACCATCCTTCTCTTTCCTTTCAATGTGCTGGAACGTCTATCACCACATGCTTGAAAAGTACCACCAGGATAAAAGGCTGCTCTTAATCAATAAATCAAAGCTAAGAAATAATTGAAATCTATTGAAACTCAGCTGTAATATAAAAACCAAAGGAGCAATTTGCTAACATAACACAGACGAGAAGCGATAGCATCAAATCAGAGAAATGAAAGCAGATGGGGGAATGAAGAAAAAAATGTTCTGATGTTAACAAAGTCACTTTCACTCAGTATGATTGGGAATTCTAAGCCATGGTGGCCAAAGTGAGAAGGGGTAACATTATCATATTCTGTTAAGTAGCAGTGCATTTGAGGAAATTTTCAATTAATTACAACTCACATCTACAACTCCACAATTCTGTGCAATGCACTGGTGCTCATTATCTACAGACGGGATCTAAAGACAAAGAAAACATGGCCCCAGTGTTCAGGGAGTTTATACTGCATGGAGAAAGATACACACACACACAAATAAGTGAAACATGAGTGCCCAAAGGGAAGTATAGGCAAGGAATTATTATGGGAGTGTTGAATGAAGATGACCCAAGAAAGGCTTCCCAAAAGAGGTAGCAAATGAGTGGGACATTGCAGGACACATGGGATGTAGATACGAAGGACCAAGGGGGAGAGGGAATGGGAAATAGAGTGATTCTGATGGAAGAGCCTGAACAATGAAACAGGTTGGAAAAGGCAGGACTGGTTTGGAGAAACGATCTAGCTTGTCACTAGAGTAAAAGGTTGGAAGTAGTCAGGGTAGAGGGTTGTCCTTGATGGGAGAAGAGAGTGAGCAGGTACACTGGGATTAGACGTTGAAGGGACATTAATGCCATGAATGCCACTTATTCAAAAGCAATGGAAACCAGATTGACGATATTCAAATCCCAGCTCTGTCACTTACAAGTTGTGTGAACTTGAACGAGTTACTTAAACTCTCTGTACCTCAGTCTCTTCACCTGCAAAGGGGGATAATAACAGTACCTACCTCATAGGTTATGAGGTTCGGTGACTTCATATATGTAAAGCCCTACAGCAGAGCCTGGAACAATGGTCATCATCCTCACTATCATTTGTTCAGGGAACGACAGCAGCTCTGTGAATGGAAAGTAGGGACAGATTTGTGCAATGTTGCAACAGTAGAATGGAAAAGACTGATGATCTATCGGATGCGAAATTATGAAGTGAGGGGAGTCCAAGTACGTGGTTAAATTTACATTCCCAGGTGAACTAAGAGGATGGAGCTTGTACCGGTCATGCATGATAAACACAGTTGAGCTGAAGAAACAAATTAAAGCCTCCGAATCCTAGGCTTAATACAGTCATGAGTTCTGTCTCACCTGGGAGACATCCCCTACCCTGGTTGATGGGAGGTTTTGTTCCAATCAGTCTTCCAGGGACCTGATGGGACCCGCACCATCCTAGAGGTCTGCCTCTGAAATAGTAGCCTCCTTGGTCACTGTGACAGGGGATAAGATTGGTGTCGCCCACAGACCAGAACTACCGCGTGGCGCCATCTAACTACGGGTCCACAGGGCTTTCAGGGGAAATTATATGGATATTCAGTGAGCAGTCAATGCCTTTGCCACAGAACAAACGAACATGGGTTTGAACAAGGAAATAATAAACTTGATTTTGGATGTTCTATTAGTCTACTAGGGCTGCTGTAAGAAAATGCCAAAGACTGGATGGTTTAAACAATTGAAATTTATTTTCTCACTGTTGTAGAGGCTCGAAGCCAAAGGTCAAGGTGCTGGTGGCTCTGTTTTCCCCTGAGACCTCTCTCCTCAGCTTACAAATGGCCTTCTTCTTTCCGTGTCCTCGCTTGGTCTTTCCTCCGTGCCCATCCCTGGTGTCTCTGTGTGTGTCCAAGTTTTCTCTTCCTACAAGAACACCAGTCAGGTTGGATTAAAACTCACCCACCAGCTTCATTTTCACCTAATCAGCTTTTTAAAGGCTCTATCTCCAAACACAGTCATAGTCTGAGGCATAGGGTGTTCGAGCTTCAATATATGAATGGTCAGGGTGGGAGGCACAATTCAGCCCATAACACAGGCGCTGAGTTTGACCTAACTGAAGCAATCATCTAACGTTTGTTGTAAGAATAAACATTTTTGTTAGGTGTTGAGAAGTTTTGCCCTGAGCCAAATGAGTCCATTCAACCCAAGGAGCAGTGATCATAAATGTTATTTCTGTTCAGTTTTTGACAGAGGCAACAAGTTACGTACCCTAACCATGAAACAAAAGGGAAAATGCCTGTTAGGTAAAGAAAGAAAAATCTGACCTCTGGAATATGCAAATGTTAATGAAGAATGGAACTCATTCACAGCTGGGAAATAAGTAATGGATTTAACCTGGCATTCATTAAAGAAATTGAGGCCACACTGACGATTCTAATGAAAAGAAAATTAATCTCCATGTCATACAGTAAACACTGATGGAAGGCAACGCGTCCATGCTTATTCCCTTACGGCTTTCATTAACCCACGATTGGACTCTCTATCAGGGATTTGCAGTGTCTCAGTCTACAAGCTGCCAACATTTGAAAGCACAGTTTAAAATTCAATCATGCAAAGTAAGCAAAAAAACAGACAGCTGACGGAATGTCTCTCCCTTCCTTCCCGTGTTTCAGAATCACAGAAAAATAGCCAGTAAACTAGAATGACCAGAAAAGGTGCCTTGTGAACCTTCAGTCGAAACTCCAGGTGGGTAAGATGTTCCCTCACCATCCTACTTTATGAAAACCAGGCAAATGCACTGGATATGTTGTGAGCTACAATTCTAAAACACAGTCTAAGGCCAGGGTGGTTCTTTTGCAGATCTTGTTCCATGACTGGCTCTTAAAGACGCTGCAAAATCTCCTCCAACAGCCTCTGTCTCTGCCCCTACATTTCAGCCCTGCGTTCTCTGACCTTGTACTTGGTCCACATATATAGGTTGCCCCCTGCATTTTAGGGGAATATACCTTCCACATTTTATGTCTCTCAGTGCCTCCACTCAAGACTGAACATAGCTGGCCCACAGGAAATCCATATTACTGCAACATTAGGCGATAGTTTACATGTTATACTGTGCTTTCCAATAGTCACTCAGTTAAATTACCCCCGACCCCAGAAGTTTAACCAATATCATCTTTTTTTCCCCTAACCAGCAAGTGGGACAGGAAATCAAAGCTGGGCTAAGAGCCAGGAAGGGCCTGCTGGACACTGGCTCCTTGGGTGTGCCTTCCTGTGGTATTTGTGGAGAAATGTTCTGTGTTGTAGGTCCAACATCACCCCCAGATCTCCAGGCACCACTAAATCCACACAGTCACGCTGTAGCACGTCGTCAACGCTTGCTTATGGGGGACGAAGAGCAGTACTGAATGTCCAAGAACGCACCTCCCAGCAGGTTACAGGTGAAGAAGTCATGGCGGAAAGGAGAGGGAATCACGTCACTACTGCTGGTAGACTTGGAGAACAAGCAAGAGCCAATTTTGGTAATTGTTATAAGCCCTCAGATCCCACCTAGACACCTGCTTTTCTGTTGGTTGAGAATCAGCAGACCATGTGACTTCTCCTGTCCCCCTTGGTCTCTGGGCAGTCAGTGATGTTCCCCCAGAGGATTGGCAGAAGAGACTGAAAGGAGAGAGACAGTCAGGAGGCCATTTGTGGCTGTAACCCAGGCCAGAGGAGACGAACAAAAGAAGTCACTTCAGAGAAGAGAAAAAAGACGGCAGACCAGGGAAGAGAAAAGAGAGGGCAGAGCTGCAGATAGGAAGGGGTGGACTTGGAACTTCACAGCTGATCGACTGTGGGAAGGGAGTGAAGGACAGAGGAAAGAAAAGCATCAGAGATGACTCCCTCCCAGCCCTGGCCCTATGCATTCCAGTCATATAGACTAACCAGGCAAGAGGGCGAGATTTCAGTGTTGATTTCTGTCGCGGATTATATTGCAAGTTATGTTGCAAGTTCCTATGGGAAGATTCTTAAAGGTAATAAAGTAAATGGACCCTCGGTTCAGAAGGGAAGCTGACATGGTAATTTCGAGATGGGAATCATACAGACATCCAGGCTGTGGATAGGATCTCAGAGAGAATATGTGCCGTGCGAGGAACCACCATGCAATGGCGTTCAGAAGTGAGGTGTGTTGATAGATCTTCAGCTGGAACTTTGTGTTGTTGTTTTTTTTCAGCTCTGGGCAAATATATTAAGAAGACTTTACTGTACTAAGATTACTACTAAGAAGAAACAAAATTCAAGGCTGAAGTCGATGTCTAAATATTTTCATTCTCCATCTTTCTGACCAAAACACTGTCCCAAGGAATAACCTGTGTGGTGTTACTGCTTCACCATTTGTATGGGACATCTCTTATTTACGACTTTGGCCCCCCTCAACTTCACTTATCTTTTGTTTCAGCCTTCACTGGGTACTCACCAACAGCTCCTGTCATCCCCACTTACACCTCAAGGCTCTTCACTGCCCGCACCAGCGCCTCTCTGTGGACACAGAGTGGGATGCCTCGGGAACCCATTTGGTACCCACAAATCTCCATCCTGGAAGATGTGACAGTTAACATCTTACAGGCAAACCTATGGCCTCCAGGGAACAGAACTTGGCAGGCAATCCTTCCACTTTCTTCCCCTGATGACCAGTCTTCAGATTCATTGCAAATGGCTCCTCAGGGGGTCCGGCATGATCCTGCCACCAGGAATCAGTGCTTGCAGATAAGTGCTGCAGGCAACTCACTTACACAACATTCCTTCTTTCCTGGAGCTCACACTCCCCAGCAAAATCTTCAAGAAGCCTGCCTTCTGCAGAACCCAGGCTAAGACACAATGGAAACAAACAAGTAAAGAAAGAAAGCCGTCAGCCTGCTTTTAAATATTCAACTATGTGAGGAAAAGAGGAGAAAACATACTTTTGGGAATCCATAGTACTAACTCATACTAAGCAGATCAAATCATTTCCAGCAGAGTAACAAACAGAGATACGCAAACATTTATTTCATGTTCTAAAATTCGTGATTTCAGAATGTACATATTGCCCAATGACCCCCTTTATAAAATATTAAGATCTCTTTAATCGTTTTCAGGGATTTGCTCATCTAATATTCCGGTCACTGTTCAATGATACAGTAAATATACCCTCCTTTCCCTTCCCTTGCTGTCATGTTTACAATAATTATCTATGCTCTATTTTTCTTTCTCTGTTAATTTCCTCTTTCCTCTGACTGGTCAGACTGAGAGCCAACAGCTTGCGCCAAGTCCCTGGAAATAGGATCCAGGTAATCATTTACTTTGAGGGCCCTGGCCAAAAGCCCACCCGTCAAGCTCCAGCCCCTGGCCCTTTGGGAAAGAAACAGATGAGTTAGAAACCCAGGAACCAAGAGGAGCAATCATCAACCAGCCCTGGGCTAGGCCCTGACCTGTCCAAGAAAGTAGAAAAAGGACTTCTGAGCGGAGGGAGGCACATCAGGACCCCTTGGTGACAGAAAGTTCACATTCGTTCATTCTACAGATGTTATCGCAAACTCACTATGTCCTAGGATATGTCCTTTCAGCTTGGTAAGGGCAACAATCGTTGACGGGCAACCTCATGTGTTTGTGGGTTTTATCATCTAGTGAGGCCACAAGATGTTGCTTTCCATGGCCAGGAATTCCAAGAAGATATAAGACCCATAAGATGATTATTCCCAGGGTTGTTGTAGACTCCAGCTTCTTGCACTCTGCCCTTCAGACTCGCCCTCCACCTGTTGGCCACATCAGTCAACCTGGCCTGAGGCTACTCAGCTCACTCACACAGAGGCGGGAGTCAGCCCAGAGTGATGTCCTGATGCATGTCCTGATGCATTGTGGGGATCCCTTGGTGAGACCGCACCTGGTCTCCTCTCTCGAAGGTATTGTCTGGGGATGAGAGCCTCTGTAATCCACTGCGGAGATCTAGGGTCCCACCCTGGGAAACTACCAATTTCCATGTGTTCTTTTCCACCAGCCTGTCATTGTCCTGTCCCCTGGAATCAGTGACTTTCAGACTTTTCTTATCTTGACCCACAGAAAGAAAAATATTTTACATAGTGTTAAGGAAACTTTTTATCAATCTAATTATGAACACATTTCAGAGTTATGTTTACAATCTTGCTGTTCAAAAAACAAAAGGTCTGTAGTAAACCATTCAAAGATTTATTTGTGGTGGAGCCGTTTTATGGAAAAACAAAGTAGCTATTGTTACACTAACAAGTAAAAAAAAAAAAAAGAAAGAAAAAAAAATACAGGAAAACCTTGATTTGCAAGCATAATTTGTTCCAGAAACATGCTTGTAATCCAAAGCACTTGTATATCAAAGTGAATTTCAAGATCCATTGGCTCAGTTGTTGTCATGTGACATTTGACATCATGTACTCCTTGTATTGCAAGACATGGCTCGTTTATCAAGTTAAAATTTATTAGAAATGTTTGTTAATCTAGCAGAACACTTGCAGAACAAGTTACTCACAGTCCAGGGTTTTACTATATTTGGATAAAGGTCACTAGATTCTTAACTGATACTGACAGTCAGTTGGGTGAGTAGGTAACCCATTTCCTTGAGCAAGACTTAATCCCATTAACTTCAGAAACTCTTCAGTGCTTTAGCAGGAATGTTAGTTTCTTCCCAGAAAGAAGATTCCATCACTCAGGGCTCGGGACAATTTTCTCTTTACAGTTATAACCCAGAAAACACTTGGCATGTATCATTGGAACAGAAGTCTGCAGATAACAATTCTTGCCCTTACCGAGCTGAAAAAATTTGAGTGTTCCTCTTATGTTCTATTTCCTCACAAAAATTTTTTCTTACTTTACAACACACTGGTGGTTCCCAATCTGCAGTATGAAAAATGTTGCTGGGGACTATTCTGCTTGTGTGCCAAAGGGAAAAAAAATGCCAGAGCCTGGCTTTACGATGTTGTGATTTACTTACAAGAATGATAGCGTTTGAAATTGTCGTTGTTCTCATATCACATAAAGGGTTAGTATCCAAAATCTATAAACAACTTATCAAACTCAACACCCAAAAAACAAATAATCCAGTGAAGAAATGGGCAAAAGACATGAATAGACACTTCCAAAGAAGACATCCAGATGGCTAAGAGACACATGAAAAGATGCTCAACATCACTCATCATCAGGGAAATACAAATCAAAACCACCACGAGATACTACCTCGCACCAGTCAGAATGGCTAAAATTAATAATCCAGGCAACAACAGATGTTGGCGAGGGTGTGGAGAAAGAGGATCTCTTTTGCACTGCTGGTGGGAACGCAAACTGGTACAGCCACTCTGGAAAAGAGTATGGAGATTCCTCAAAGAATTAAAAATAGAACTACCCTACAACCCAGCAATTGCACTACTAGGAATTTATCCAAGGGATACAGGTGTGCTGTTTCGAAGGGGCGCATGCACCCCCATGTTTATAGCAGCACTATCGACAATAGCCAAAGTATGGAAAGAGCCCAAATGTCCATTGACAGATGAATGGATAAAGAACATATGGTGTATATATATACAATAGAGTATTTCTTGGCAATCAAAAAGAATGAAATCTTGCCATTTGCAACAACGTGGATAAAACTAGAGGGTATTATGCTAAGCCAAATTAGTCAGAGAAAGACAAATATCATATGACTTCACTCATATGTGGAATTTAAGATACAAAACAGATGAACATAAGGGAAGGGAAGCAAAAAATAAAAATAAAAACAGGGAGGGGGACAAAACAGAAGAGACTCTTAAAATTAAAGAACAAACTGAGGGTTGCTGGAGGGGTTGTGGGTGGGGGGGATGGGCTAAATGGGGAAGGGGCGTTGAGGGAGACACTTGTTGGGATGAGCACTGGGTGTTATACACAGGGGATGAATCACTGGAATCTACTCCTGAAATCATTATTGCACTAGCTTGGATGCTAACTTGGATGTAAATTAAAAAATAAAAAAAACTTTTAATTTTTAAAAATTCTTTTAAATTAAAAAAAAAAGAAATTGTCGTTGTCCTGTGGAAGCCTTCACTTGAATATTTTATGTTTCCTATTACTTGTCAAGGTCAAAATGACTCTCAGGAAACATCTGAAATTATATAATAGAAACCAATATTAAAGGATAAGAGGAGCACCTGGGTGGCTCAGTCGGTTGAGCATCCACTCTTGGTTTTGGCTCAGGTCACAATCTCACAGTTTGTGAGATCGAGCCCCACATCAGGCTCTGTGCTGAAGATTCTCTCTCTCTTCCCCCTCTCTCTCTGCCCCTCCCCTGCTTGCACTCTCTTTCTCTCTCAAAATAAATAAACTTTAAATAAATAAATATAAAGATTAAAAGGTTCATAGCAGACTTACTTACAATAGCTGAAAACCAGAAATAGCCCAAATGTCCATCACCAGTAGAATGGCTGCTATAGGCTGCCGAATCGTGGTAAACAAAGGAATACTCCTTACTCCATTAAAATACTCCATTAAAAACAAAACAAAACAAAAAACAAACAAACTCCTGGCACACACAGCCAGAATAACTCTCATAATCATTATGAAAACAAATTAAGCCAGACACAAATGAGAACCCCCTGTACAATTCTATTCATGTGAAGTTACAATGTAGGCAAAAACAAATCAGTGGTGACGGAAATGGCAACCTCTGCAGGGAAGGGGTGTTGGCTTGGAAGGGGCATGACGAACCCTTCCAAGCGCTGGACACATCGATCCTAATCTGGGTAGTGGCTACATGGAGATAAACACGTGTAAAATGTTGTACTTCTGTATATTAAATGCCCCCAAATTAAAAAACACAAAGAATATGCTCTAACGAAATTCGCCTTAAAGGCAACTTTTTAGGAGCGAGAAGATGATCAATTTCTAAGTTTCATTAACAGCGTCTCACACTGCGTGATGGCACGTGCCTTTGCACCACGCCTTGCCTGTGGTGCCATCACATAAATATGCGTGGGCTTTTATTGCCCTGTCCCATCCTCACCAAAACTCTGGGCAGTGCAAAGGGTTGGGCATTATCCTTCTGCCTTTATAAACAAATTAAGGCTTACAAAGATGGAGAGACTCATTCAAAATGGCACAATTCACTCATGACCAGCCAGAACTAGTCCTTAGTCACCTGAATCCAAATGATTGGTGCGTAGCAGTTATCTGGTAGCTATGGCGAACATGAATAAAAACAAAACAAAAAAAACCCCTCATTTTAAGTGGAGTGGGCAAGCCCTGAAGGCGGAACTTTCCAGCACTGCCACTTGCCCAGACCCCAGCAGAAGAAGCCTACCTTGCATTTTCCAGCTGGAAGAAAGAAGAGTTTCTCCTGACCCAACAACAACCCAGCCAATGAGAAGTCGCCACAACCCCCAAGCTCCTGCTCTCCTCCAATGGACTTTCCTTCCAAATGGCCCCTCCCGACTATCTCCTTTCCTCTAGAAAAGCAAGCCCCTCTCCTTTGTTCTCCAGACTTGCCTGTGGGTTACCATAGGTTGCTTGTCCCGCTTTGCAATTCCTCTGTTAATCCTGAATAAATGCATTTTGCTGGCAAACCAACTGGGTGTTTTATTTTTAAGGTTGTCACTGTACCGAAAGCTACCACAACTTACACATCTATTACATGCAACTAACATGTTTTCATTGTCATTGTTGGTTTACGCCTCTCAACAAACTTATGGGCATATTTATCACTGCTTTACAGTGGATGTAACAGATGGACAGAGACTGGGTAACCTGCCCAAGGTCACACAGCAGGTAAATGGGAGGCCTGGGATGATTCAAATCCAGGTCTGCCTGACTTCAAAGTCTGAGTTTAAATAGCAATGCTCCTGCCTCTGTTAGGACACTCCTGCTTCCTCTACCAGGTTTTAAGAGGAAGCAATTTTCCTTAAAGGCATGCAGCTGTGTCCCATCTCAAACCTGTGGAGCCCCAGTTCTCCTCCAGCCCGTGTGTATAACTATCACCTAGTAGATCTCTGGTGTTTGGATCCCAAGAAAAGAAATCCCTCTTGATGCAGCATGAAAATGTCGACAGGGTTGGAAGGAGCAGAGAATTTAAGAAGGCAGCACTCTTGGGGGCGCCTGGATGATTCATTCGGTTACGCATCCAGCTCTTGATTTCAGCTCAGGTCATGATCTCACAGTTCATGGGCTCAAGCCCCGTGTCAGGCTCTACACTGACAGCATAGAGTGTGCATGGGATTCTTTCTCTCCCTTTCTCTCTACCCTTCCCCTGCTTGCTCCCTCTCTCTCTCTCAAACATAAATGAACATTAAAAAAACAAAAAAAACGAAAGCAACGCTCTTGTCAACATTTAAGTAAACCTGTTTATTTGTACAAAATTAGAGAAAAATTATTCCATGTTCCCATACAGGTAGTAGCAACTAAATTGTTAAATGCA